ATATATATATATATATATATATATATATATATATATATATATGGAGAGTAGTACACAACATTTAATATGAACACTGCTTTAATATAATGCCATATAATAAAAGTATCTTGCTGTATGCTGTTTTATAGACGTGTTACTGAGCTTGGTATCACCTTTTTATGTGTTTGTATTTGAGGGATGCAAATCAAAGCATGTGACAAGTGTAGTTTTGTCTGACAATGTATTTTAAAACTGTGTACAATTGTCAACCATCAGAGATTTTGTTAACACTGTGGTAGCACTTATATTATTTATCTCTAAATATATTAAACCATTGTAGAAAAGATTGCAAATCAGGGTAAGACTGTTTTATGCCACTGTTGAATGTTTATAGGATTTTTCTGATATTACATCAACCAAAAACCCATTCCTTGCTTATTTTATCGATACACTAAATCTAAATTCCACAAAGAAGGTTACTATAAAACTGAGATTTAAAGACCTAACATAGATAATTGTACCCATACTGCCCCTCCTATTGGACTCTATTTGATTGTCTGGATATTCTTAACATCTTGCCTATCATCTACACAATTTAACAATATGGGTACAGGCCTACTGGGTACTCATGGTGTATGTGACGTCATTCTCAGCAAGATGTATTTCCAATTCTCACCTGCTGGCTCTCCTCTTACAAACCATACATTTCATCACAAAATACCTCAAGGGGGCGCTGTTTCTAACTCGACGTGATGGTTCTGTCGGCCACTTGAGAAAGGGGGCAGGCTGTATTCAAGTCTGTCCTCTCATTCATGCAGAGTGTAACGCAGTCACCGCCGACAGCTAGGCCGTGTCACATCCTCGTCAAAACAGAAAGCTCAGCTCTCTCTGACTGACCGAAAGGGTTGGTGAGTAATAATTATCCATTTTCTGAAAGCCTCTTGACTCTCTTTATGCCCCTCTCGGCAGTTTTGGAAGTAGCTGTGAAAATATAGCTTCAGGGGAAAAAGAAACATGGCAAGCTAGGCAAACACCTTTTAAAAGCTGTCGTTATCTCTGCGCAGTTAATGTCAGTTTGTTGCATTTCCGTGTCGGCGCAGTGCTTTAGAGCTGCGCGCCGCGGTGTTTACATGGCGTACAGTAGGTTTCTACATTAGCGTTGACATTACCGGGCGGCCTGTGGCAGTCAGAAATTAAGTTGACAGCATCAACGCTAATTGTGAAAGTGGAAACTATGCCTCGAGCGTAACTGTCTATTGTCCTCACAGCCATGCTATTGGGTTTTAACAGCAGGTTGTGGAAAATGCTGAAAAGGCCTCATGAATATCTGCATTAAAATCTACCCTGACTTTTTTGTATTGCGAATGTTAAACGGTCCCTTAGCACCCCTGTGTTGTTCATAACATAAATGTAGGCAAAAGTCCAAGTAAAGGTCATTCATTGACAGTTACCTGGAAGCTCTATAACACTAGATACAGTTGTATTACTCTAATAATAACAATAGTACAGTATAGCTTGTCTGCAGTTATAATGTGTGGTAGTAGCAAAAGATACATTTAAAAAGGTGTGTAAATGTCACCTGCTAGTGAAGGTCAGTAGATTCGTCATGGTGTCCTTCTTGTGAGAGCATCATAAACGTACAGATAGTACCCGTAGTTTATTTACATGTGACTGAAAACGCTGTTTATTTTTTATTCATAAATAGAATATTGTATTGACAACGGGGGTGCACACTGGTGACCCCCTTTCTCCTAGACCACGTGGGAAAGATAATTAAAATAGGCTAATGCAACAAATGTATGCGTTTATGTGTAGTTTCATGTTAAATGTTATAGTAATGACAACAGGCTTAAGGCTTTATGGAGTGGTTTGTGGTTTTTTGGTCAGAATCAATTGCAGATAAGGTTGACATAAGTGAATGTGCTTGAAGACTTGGGAGGTTGACATAATTTATTAACGCTAGCAATGGCTGTGTAACTGCTGTAAAGTATAGAAAATGAACAAACGCCTATCATACAATACCCAAAATGAACAATCTTTTTTTGGTTGGCTTTATTGTGAACACAATGGGATATACCTACTACTATGTTGCCAGTTTTACCCAGTTTCTAAGCGGCGCAGTGCTGCGACCTTTCCCCTAGTTTCTGCAACACAGGGTGGATCATGTGATGCTGGAAAGTTGCTGGGGGAGGGGACTCACGCCTCCAACTGTGGATGGTGCTCCTTCCGAGGACTAAAAACGTAGATACGTGTCCTGCTTTCAGAGTGCTCTCATTGAATAACATAAAAATTGACTGTGTAAAGAAAAAAATTTTTTTTCAGAAACTAAGAAGAGGCTGCTGGGAAACGTTGCTGTAGTCTTATTTAAAAGCGAAGAGAACATCTAATACAGCAAATCCATGCCATAGGATGCAAAACATTAACCTCAGTTTAACGATCTATATAATCAATGGCCAGTTTTAACTTGCCCACTCGTGAGGTACTTATTTTTGCTTATGTGGTTATTGTATTTCCTACTGCTATTGAAGGCAGCTGAAAACACCATGTCCCTCACAACGCCACAGTCAACCAGGCATTATATAATTCAGGTGGTATTTACTTCACACATTCTGCTGGTGTCCCATACCAACGGTGGTCAAATAAAGGCTTAACCATTGTAATTTGAAGCCAAGACATGGGTTCTGAGTCTGTGAAACTATAGAAAATGGTGGTCATATAGTACGTCTAAAATCTGTCATTTATTTAACTAATCTTACTCAGTAAAGCATCACTTATATCAGTTAACATTGTATTTCACATAAAAACAAAAAATGCTTTCTAACATTATTTAAACAGGTTTCAGAGAGGTTTGCCCATTTGAAATAAAATGATCTTCAGGTTTATAATAGAGATGCTACACCTGCCTAACTGGTCCAGTGATGAGTACCAGTAATGCAACACAGTCACCTCCCAGTGCATCTCCTCTGGTGTCAGCTTGCAGGATCCAGTTCAGATGATACAGTAGCCAAATGCAAAAACATGCATGTCAAGCTGATTTATGAAGGACCTACTTGTATTAAAAATACATCACTTCCTTATAAAGGATGCTGCTTTGTCATTCAATGTTAATAAACAATAATCGTTGTTACAAGGCATTTGTATTGCAGTTAAAGAACACAGTGTTGCTTTGTACCAAGTATCTGATGTTGTGTTTTTATATATGCCCTTTAGTTCCACTGCTTTCTCACACGACAGCCTTTAGAAAGTATACAAAATGGGACTCTAAATGAATCTTCTCCAAAAAGAGAATCAAAAATAATCAAAATCAAAACTAGGTAAAGTTGCAGGCAAGACCAATATCATACAGAGAATATAACAAATGTGGTTTCAAGACTCCAATATTGTCTCTGTAACTCAAGACTTCATGGACACTCAACAGTTTTGCCTCTGAAAGTAAGCTTACATTTATCCAGTCACTCCGTGGTCTACTGGCCAGTTTCCTACAAAGAGCTTAAACTGAATAAACCTTGGGAATGAGGCAACCTGCAGTGCCTTCGAGGAATAACAACCACTGATTTCAAAGAACTGTGACAGCCAGGAGCATGTGAATAGAACAGGATGTTTCCATTTTGGCCTGAAGACAGTAATGCACAGCCTTATCCCAATGTCACCCTGATGTGATTTTACATTGTTGGGATCTGCTCATTCTTGTACTTAGTATCCATATTTACTTTGTGATTGACCTTTTATGATAGCTGTAAGTCTTCTTGAAACTGCCTCTTAACTTACTCTATTATCTTGCACTTGTTCTGCCCTCAGTGACCCTGTGCAGTAGAAGCCACCATGGCAGAAGCTCACCAGGCGGTGGCCTTCCAGTTCAGTGTTTCCCCCGATGGTATCGACGTACAGCTGTGCCACGAGGCTCTGCGCCAGATCTACCTCTCTGGCATCCACTCCTGGAAGAAAAGATTCATTCGCTTCAAGGTGAGAGGTGTTAGACGTATGGAGAATAAGGTCTAGAGGGTTCCTGTACAATATGTGGGGACATTGTTGATGATCTTTGACTGAGTTACTACCAAGTATAAGTCCATATTAAGTTTATTAGCAAACATTCCATTCATTTTTGTTAATCACCTGACCGAGAAGGGAACTTTGTTTACTCTTTGGAGGGCCTTAAGATACAGACATATGTTGAAAATGTTGTTGAATGTTATTATATATATATACACACACACACACACCATCACTTTAAATGTTTTCAGCATATATATGTATTCAATCTGGAGTGATTGACTAATATTGGTTACTCACAAAGCATATGTTTATATAGTACTTATTTATGTCCTTGGAAAATAAAACCTTAAAAAAAAGGCATGTATGGATAGTAGATATTATACCTATTCATTATTCATTACAGATTACATTTTTCATTTAATTTACTTGATTTAATGTTTAATATTATAACTTATGCTTTCACATTTGTAATGTGTGTTTGACTTGTGAAATGTCAGAGTGAAAGATTGGGTTTCGAAGGGCACCTGTTTTGGGTAACTGTGTTTGTATACGGATTTCTTGCTTTAAATAAGAATGCCTTTACAAAAATAGATACATATTGAGGCAATAAACATAATCTGAGGGCTGCAGTAATCCTTACAGTCATTTATCCATTTGATCTTTATCTGACTGTTAGTCTTTTATTACTCGCACACGATTAGCTAGCAGTGATCATAACCTTCCTGGGAATTCTCAGTGTCATAGCCTTTGGCCTAGTTGTGTGTTTACACCATACACCACACAGGGCCACTCAAACCCAAACACCTCCAGGCATTTTCACACATTCCTTTTTGTTTACTTAGATTTATGATATCTCACACAGGTCAGCAGGATCCAAAACAAAGTGATATGAAAGCACTTGTTGTATTAACAATATCCTTATAAATGATTTGCCCTCTGTAACCTTCCCTTTGGTTTACCTCTCCACAGAATGGGGTAATGACTGGTGTGTACCCGGGCAGCCCTGGTGGGTTCATGGTGGTGGTTGTGTCCTACATGTCCTATAATAAATATAACGTGCTGGATCCCTCTCTGGGGTTGATTGCCAGGCTGGGTCAACACGTACCCATCAGGTAAGATCTGCCTCGCATGACATGATGTTTTGTTCTATATAAGTAGACAAAGAAAGCCAAAAACCTTGCATTATACACATCAAACCAAAGTCATAGAACTAGTTGCGATTGAGCAAACTATTGTCGCCTCATGTTGCGTACATCCTGCCGTAAAATTCACACTTAACCACACCACAAAGACTACAGCCAACATCCAACTCTCCAGTACCTTCTGCATCTTTGTGAGAGAAAAATAACTCTGCATAACAGCATGGGGCTTGAAACCAGAAAAGATAGGGCTGTAAATAAATAAGATATCCGTGTATTAATCAGAATAGGTTAAGATGAAAAATGAAAAGGGGAAATGTGTGTGACCTCTTGACTTTAGTTTTAGTTTGTTTTCCTCACATCCGTTTATCTCCCCGTGCCCTGATTCCCATAAGCTTAACAGCCAATCAGAGTGATTATTAGCTGACACCCTCTGCGGACGGTGCAAGACCCACCACAGAAACTAGGCCGACAGACGCTCACCCACGGCCCCAACTTGACGGTCTGCCGATTAATAGGCTTGGTGTCGGGGCCTTAAAACAATACAAATCACCAAGGAGATTTATTCAAGTCTAGACATAACCACCATGCTAATTTGTTCACAAGTTGGCTCAGTGTTCAAGAGGAAGTCCCTAAACAAATAAAGTGACCATTCCGTAGTAGGGATTTGGCAACAAAAAGAAAATGGGCGTGAAGGAAGTTATGAATTATGATTACAAATCCAACATGTGAAAAGGCATCATGTGGCCAATTGCATAGCAATGGAATGCGTCTTTAAGCTTTTATTACATTTATACAGATAGGCACATGCCTCTGGTATTTACGAGGTGCAGTTGTAGATTGTAAAATAGATGTTATTTAATTTTTAGACATTTTGTTCCAATTGTCTGCCATGCCTCATCTTTGTTGTTTGCCAACAATGCTGCTCATGTTTGGTGATATTATGCCAACACTCCCTGTCCATATAAAGCCTCACTTTATCTACAATGCTGGGGATTTTCCCTCAAGTGAAGGACATTGTTCATGACCGCATTGTTAAGGTTATTCTTCCCGTGTCTAATTTCTAAATTGTTTCAAACACTGTTAATTACATAAAAGCCTTGCCTCTCCATGTATGTTATAACATGTTATTACACATATTATCAATGTAACCGGCTACACTAAGTGGTAAGGATAGGGATTTTACCATTGACAGTTCAATGTGTAAGAGTTTTTATCTTTTCAAAGATAAATGTAATACTTTTTTTACCATGACTTCATGTGACTTTGAACTCAGCCAAGTCTGTATGCTGCTATGTGTCATCATTGTACAATGTGTCCATTGTGTTGTTGTAGTGGACACTCTCATATATTCACAAGTTAATCAAACTTGAACATGTAATGGCCTGTGTTATTACTTTGAATGCCATATCTTTACATTGTTCTTGTTTTTCCTTTAGTCGGGAAAGTCATATTTCCTACAATTTCCCATACTTTGAACCAAAAGTGTTGCTTTGCTAATCTTATATTGACCTTCTCTGTGTCTTGTCCTGGTCACGCCTCCCTCTGTCCCCCCTTCTCTGTCCACAGTCAATACATGTGTGAAGACAGCCAGAAGATAGTTGGAGGGGTTCTGGTGGGCACGGGCCTGTGGGTCACCATAATCATGGTTATGAGGAATGTCCTGAAGTGCCTGTTGTCGTGGCACGGCTGGATGCACGCTCGCCACGGCTCTGTGCCCTTGTCTACGCGTCTGTGGATGGTGAGACAATCAATGTCCTCCTCTGGTCAATTCCCTTTAGAGCAAACACAGACAGGAATGTCTGGTGCCATTATTCATAAAGAAGTACGTTTTTGCTTCCTCGTATGAAGGACAAGCCAAACATATGAGAGTCAAGAGCTAAAACATTGATTGTGTTTTTATTACACAATTCCTGCTAACAAGGGCTTAACAGTTCTCGATTGAATAGGATATTATGAGACAGGTTAAACGGTTTGAACTGTTGCTCAACAAATCATTTTGCCCTTATGTTCTTTTTTCACTTGTTCATCTAATTTGATGTAAATGAATCAAGGCCTACTATGCATTGCTGTAGGTCATTCATTTCCCATTGAAGTATGTCTTTTAAAGATACCACAAGACTTAAGAATATAAGGTCCTATTAAAGTGATTATACTGAGTCACCATTTATTTTTGACTGATAGGACAAAGTTCTTGTGTAAAGTCTTTGTCAGACCATGTGCTGTTTTGGTCTTTGTTATATTAACCCACCTGTTACGTTTTTGGACTTTGCTCCAGACCCCGACACATTCCAGGTGAAACACAAAGTGTAACCTTCAATCCTCCTTGTCCTCTCCCTTATCTCTTCTTCTTGTCCAGTTATTAGTGAAGGTGTTCTCCGGCAGGAAGCCAATGCTCTACAGTTTCCAGAACTCCCTGCCCCGGCTTCCTGTGCCCGGTGTCAAGGACACCTGCAGTCGGGTAATTTCCACCTGCCGTGTTACTTCCTGTCTCGTGTGCACAATCTTTCATGATGATAACGATCCTAGCTAATGGACTCGAAACACATTTTTAGAAGGCTCAGCATTCGTAAATGTTCAATTTGAATAACCTATTTTGAAAGAATACATTTAATACCACTGAACTGCATGTAAATCCTTTATCTTTTTCCATCATGTAACATAGATAAGGGGTCTATAGTGCCCTGAAATAGTACTACGTTTTTTTGGAAAGAATGCTTCTCTACTTTAAAGTGTGCTGAGTCACATTTCTTTACATTTCAGTAAGACTCTTCGCCTGAGGCTTAGCCATAAAACACACTGGTCCTCCTGTCTTCCATCTGTCGGGGGGGAGGAAAGAGGAGATGACCTGTTTTCTCTCTTGTCTGCTCTCTCCTTGTTTAAAAAGTGATTAGACTTTGCATCCCTCTTTGTGACTTCCCTGTTTCATTGTTAATAGTACCTGGAGTCAGTGCGCCCACTGATGGAGGATGAGCAGTATGAACGTATGGAGGGCTTGGCTAAAGACTTTGAGAAGAACCTGGGACCCCGATTGCAGTGGTACCTCAAACTCAAGTCCTGGTGGGCCTCCAACTACGTGAGTTACACATCATTCCTTCCCTTAATCTCTTCTTCAGCCTTTTGTCACAGATTTGGAAACTGTCCCGGGTCAGATTCATCAAAAACAATCAAAGAAAAGCAGTCTGTCTAATGAGGTCTCCCGTTTTCCTTTCCCTCTCTTTGTGTTGCACAGGTCAGTGACTGGTGGGAGGAGTATATTTACCTGAGAGGCCGTGGGCCCATCATGGTCAACAGTAACTATTATGCCATGGTAAGTCATCTCTAACTGAGTACATGTTAGCAATAATGGCTCAGCCTTTTTCATTTAAAGTTTAATCAGGAAGCATATCCATGTAAGTTGTGATTGATTCTCTTGCTGAAGGTGTGTTTTAGCATGTTTAAGCTCTGTTACCCACATCACTGTTTTTTCAGGAAGAGTTAAAACATGTAAACAAACCTGAGAATTGTTGTTCTACCACATTGTAAGCTATATATAATAATAACTTTCAATAAGAGTATTTAGATAGAACTATTTCATGGCATACTGATAGTCTTATTTTATGTGTGATAGCTGGGCTCAACTGGTTAGCACATTTTCTTTCTATGTAAGGACACACTTACATTCCATGCATCGTGGTCTTAGGGGAGCTCATTACAACATCAGCCTCACAGTCTGGGGATTTACAGCATTTTGCTGAATCACTGCCTTACAGTGTGTCCTTATTTTAACTCGTGGGCTGGTTGATTGCTCAAAATCTGTGTCAGATTTGTAATCCCAGTAGACCTAGTGAACCAAACAGAAATGCTAGCGGCCAGACCTAAGGGTCTATAACAGTGAGCCAAAGGGCTGTTCCTGCCTTGAGAGAGCAGACTCACTCTTCATAGAGACAGAGAATCTGTTTTGTCTGTGAGGAGTTATCAAATAGTAACAATGGAAATGTCAACAGAAAATTGGATCTCTTATGCTTTCTAAGGAGGTAGACATGGTATAGATCAGTGGAACAAAACTTGGCATGCTTGACATAGCAGGTGATGATAGCTACTGTATGTGCACATACAGTCCTTGACCAAAATAACAACAAAGGATCTATGGCGGCCTTACACAGTGACACAGTTGTGTTCATGGTGCTTTCGTGGTCACGTCTTATGCCTTTTTTGTTTTCAGGACATTGTGAAATGTTAGAGATAATGAATTGCTAACTATTAAACTCCTTTCCCAGGACTTCCTGTATGTGTTCCCCACCTCCATCCAGGCTGCCAGGGCAGGTAACGCCATCCACGCCACCATGCTCTACAGGAGGAAGCTGGACCGAGCCCAGATCAAACCTGTGAGTGGAGAGCTGCTGTGTTTCCGAACTGTTACATTCCTTAAATGATTTTGTTAAGCTCTGGTAATCCACAGACATTGTGAAAGCTGTGATATAAATAGCATTAGCACATGTTTGACCATATCAATCCTATGTAAATGTTTAACTTTGTCCTTTATTGATTAACGGCTGTTATCTCAGTTTGTCTTTTAAGTTTACAATGAGAGCGGCTTATCTACCACTGTCTTCTTGTGTACTCTCAAAAGTACGTTTCTTATGTCAGCAACGATTATGTAAATATTTCAAATTCTCCTCGGCTCACTTTGTCTAACTCTGACTTTAGGAATAGCCTTTCCCTGGGCTTTTTGTTTGTCTGGACACAAGAAGAGCTGTGATTACGCAAAGTCGCACGCATCATGTGAAGGCTTAAGGCTCGATGAATGCTGTGCGATTTTACCGACGCACATCAGTTTCATCCTTCCCCGCTCCTGTGTCAGTCTTTTTCCTTTAGAAACCTGCATGACGCTTGAGTGCAAACTCTGTATTTTCATTTGCACAATCCTGACACACATTGAACAACATGTTGCAGAAATACAAACTGATCTCCCTGAAAAACACATTGACATTTATTCAAACCAATGCATGAGCTTGCTGTGTTACACACTCACATTCAGTTCTCTCTGTTTTACTGTTTTGTCCCTTCACTGTGTCGGACGCTGCGTTAGATTTACTTGCTGGCAAACAAGATTCCTCTGTGTTCGGCTCAGTGGGAGGCGATGTTTAACACCACACGCGTCCCAGGTTTGGAGACAGGTAAGAGGAGGGCAGATCTCCGCCCGTGCCCTCAACACCTCTTCCCCATGACCTTAGCTATTCATGCGGCACCAGCCGTTGGAAACCCTTACTGCCAGACTCATTCTCAACAGCGCAGCCCTGAAACAATCCTATTTCTTATTGGCTTGTAGTAGTTTTCTTTGGGTTATATTTACATTTATAAAATGTAAACCCAACTACATCTTAGTACAAATGTTTCTGCAAATATCAGGTTTATGCTGGTGTGAATGAGTTGGCAGACCACTGGTTTCTGGACCCTGCTCATGTCTCTTTCCCTGGCAGTCTTCTCAGGTCCCTCCTCCTCCTTAAGGCTGCTTATCAAACCAATCCTCATCGCTCCCTCTCCACCTCACCCATGCTCCTGTCCCTGTAGGTGTTTGTCCGCTGCTGTTCTCGGGGGATTTTAGTGAAATAGTCTGTCTTCTCTGTGTGTTTGACTCTCCCCTTTTGCTTTTTTCAGCTCATGCTCCTACAAACTATTCCCATGTGCTCAGCCCAATACGAGCTCATGTTCAACAGCAGTCGTGTCCCAGGTGTAGACACAGGTAGAGTCCTTAGCAGTCCGCCTCCTCCACACTACTCCTACTGTACTGCTCCTTGGGACTTTGGTCTGTGTGTTTGAACTAGAAATAATCTGACCACCATGAATAAATAACGCATGTGTGAAGGTCTATGCACATCCAAGGACTAATGTGCATGTGACTAAAGTTTGACGAGGTAAGACCTGGAAATGTCAAAACACTGCTGGCGTGAAAAAATACGTTAAATATTTATAGGTATTGCATCACATATATATATACGTTCAAGATTGCGAAAGATGTAAAACATCGTAGTATCATATTAGCTTCTGGGTGGTGCTCACAGCTACTTTAGTGTTTCTTTATTGTTGTCTACAGTGAATACATCTGGAGTTGTATGAAGGAATTCTCCTTCAAGAATGTCATGATATACATTGAAAGCAACTTAAATGAGAAACTGTTTTTTTCCATTCGTAGAACTATAAATGATATATAATGCATGATCAGTGTGGAGAGGACCTCCAATGCATGATATAACCAAGATGAAGACCAGTTAAGTATGATAGCCCATAGCTGGAACCTCAGGACCAAGATAATGAGCTGTGATGTCATCCTAATGTCTGACAACATATTAAGATGTTAATGAGAAACAAATATAAAACGTAAGGCCCTGAAAGACTATGTTATCTCTCTGGCTGTAAAGGGTTGATTATGGATAAGGATTAGGTATACATGAATTGAAATGGGAGATTCAGCATTGAAAAATATAAAATAATTACTTGTTTTATGTTAAAAGATTTTAATAAAATCAAATGTAAAGATTTGTTCAGACTATTATAGGTTAGTGAAGAGACAGAAATATATACATTACTAATCCTAGGAATATGGAAGCTTTTTTTTTAGTTAAATATAAATTGTAATTTTAAAGCCAGTTTTGGATATATAATGGGATCACAGTTTTGACATTGCTTGAGGTGCAGGCCTTTTTAACCTGGGTGTGAAGTGTTTGTTGGTAATGGGGTTGGTCCTAGCTTATGTATCCCCTCCCTTGTCTTGCCTGTAATGAGGGCAATGTTTGTCTGAACACCATGAGCATGACCATATCATCATAATAGCTGTGAATCAAAGATGCAGCTGGTGTTTTTGAATTGGTTTCTCTGTGTCATGCGCAGTGCTGTTCAAACTAACTTTGCCCCAACTTGTTGTATTCCAAACCACCACCCTGTTCCCAAATTACTTTCCCTCTTCATCTCACTTCCCCCACCTCTCATTTCAAGCCGCTTTAGTCTTTGAACTTGATAGCAGTCCCATCATGTAGTTTCATTTTGAATTCAGTTCATTTCTTCCCGATCAAATTTGTATGGATGTTCACAAAAATGTAACGATCAAGTCCTCAAAAAAATATTCTGCCCTTCACAGAAACATGTGGATGTTGTGGATGTCACACCATTTCACCTGTGGGACCAGGATCTGGTCACTAACAATTCTACTGTTCCCAGGAATGAAATGCTGCGACATCCACACTCCATCTATACTGGTGCCTTCAATTTGAGATAAAATCCTATCCAACTTACATTTTAAAATGCATAAACATACACATAAATCTGCTCTCAGTGACGCCACCCCCAACACTCCACTTGTCTCTGTTCTCCTCTTTTTCTCTACTTACAATTGGTCCCTCTCTCCCAGACATCCTTCAGCACATGAACGACAGCAAACACATAGCTGTGTACCATAAGGGCCGTTTCTTCAAGGTGTGGATGTTTTATGACGGACGGCTGTTGTTGCCACGGGAGATAGAGCAGCAGATGGAAAGGATCTTGGCCGACACATCGGAGCCGCTGCCAGGAGAGGAGCAGCTCGCGGCACTGACCGCAGGCGACAGGTGGGAGCAGTACAGAGGCAGCTGCAGCCATATTGAGAAAGACAAACAGTTAACACTATGCATTGAACTATGACAGGAAGTAAAGAAATAAAGTGCGGAAATTGGCTTTTATTGCAACCATAAGTTTCAAGGTTGATTAAGCCGGTTAATGATTTGCATCCTGTAGTTATAAAGTGTTATTAGACTATGTAAACACAGTCATACATCAAATTAATTGGAACAGATATCAATATTTTTTATCCTTTTAAGTATTACCTGAATTTGACACCTTGATATGAACTTAGCTGGACATTTTACTAAAATGAACTCAAACAGCAGTGTAAATGTACTGTTACTTATTTAGCTGACAGATTTGCTTGATGTCTGTGGTAAGCTAAAATCAGCGCGTAATATCGATCCAGATGATGTATTGTCTTAATATATGAAGGTAGTAACATATACACATTTATGTGTATTGATCACAGAAATGCACGAAAAGTACCTCCAACCCAAAAATGACAGTTTTCTTACACTTCGGAGAAACTTGTATTGAATAATTACAAGAATAGAAAGTGTGACTTCTGTAAGGCATTGCCTGAGGTCTACCTGGTGAAAAAATAAAAACCTGTTATTTGACCGTCTACAGGACCCCATGGGCCAAGGCTCGTGAAACCTACTTCAGCCGTGGTAAGAACAAGCAAGCTCTGGACGTCATCGAGAAGGCAGCTTTCTTTGTTACCCTCGACGACACCGAGCAGCGCTATGATGAAGCCAACCCGGTCAAGTCTCTGGACAGCTACGCCAAGTCCCTGCTCCACGGAAAGTGCTACGACAGGTGGGACAGACCAACTAGCTATATTCCATTTTTAGATATTTAAGAGTTTGCAGGGTAAGTTCTATAAAGATAAACTGAAAATGTTTGTTTGTCATTCAGGTGGTTTGATAAATCCTTTAACCTGATCGTTTTCAAGAACGGCACCATGGGACTGAACGCAGAGCACTCCTGGGCAGATGCTCCCATCATTGGCCATCTGTGGGAGGTACGGCCATGTCGTTTTTATCTAATGGATTTAATGTTTGCATTATATCGCAAAGAATAAATAAGGAAATGAATACCTTTTTTAGATTTGGGTCCTGACGAAAACAATTTTAGGTAAAACAAAAAGGAACATATTCAACTAGCTCAACACACTGAACAAGTACAATGGAAAGGGGCAAAAATGTTGGCATGATGGTACTAGTCAAAGCTTTTGAGACAGAAATGCAAAACAAATCACACATGTTCTCTTTTTAGCTGAGATGTTAAAACGTTCCTCTGCTTTGCAGCATGTTCTTTCCATGGACCCTATGAAGTTGGGATATACTGAGGAGGGGCACTGCCACGGAGAGCCCCACCCCAACCTTCCAGGTCCTCTGAGGCTGTCATGGGACATCCCTGCTGAGGTAAGGGTCGGGTTATGCTAAAAAAGATCCAACAACATGTTGTCGAACCACATTAGAAGGCAAAAGTGTTTTAACAGCTGTCCACATTTGAGGGTGAGGAGAACAACTGGCTATAAAGAGGATGGAACACCCCAATAGGATGCACAACGATAAGTTTATGTGTGAATAACTGTGCAAACTTTCAGAAAGTCTCCTGGAAGACATTTATAGTGACGCGCTGTTTTTTACACATGAAAAACGACAGAAATGGTTATTTAAATGATGGAAAACAGAAGAAGTTCATACCTTGCTCTCTTCCTCGCATCCACACAAAGTGAGTGTGAAAATGAAATTGTTGGTTACAGAAAGCTAATAGATGCAACCGCCAAATTCAGCTGCTGATAATGTGTGGTGTGAGGTTGGTATTAAGCTCATTGACCATCTGAGGAGCACCTTTATTGAAGCATACTGAAAGCTAAAGACTTCATGGTCTCATACACCGGGCTGATATTTGACAGTCATATGTATTGGCAGGGTTCGAGTTATAAAATGAGCTCTATGGGGGTCTTTAAAACTAACGCACACACTCAAACACACACACACACAGCAGCAGCCCTCTACTTGCTACAAACTTAAATATGAAAAGGTTCAACTACGCACACACACATCATCTCGGCTCGCGCAGCACGCTCACAGGCATAGATTGCGAAATAATGTGTTGCGCACCTTGGAAGATACAGTGCAGGCATATTGTCATTCAAGTGATGCGTAGTTCTTTTGGAAAACATGTTTTTCTTTTAGCCTATTTACCTCGTTAATGTATATAATACTCATTATCTCAGTTTTATTAACTTATTAACTGATCGACATCAGAGATGCAAAATATCATCCCTGTGTTTTTTATATTGTAAACTGTATTTAAATGATGTGCGGGCATGTATGCATGTTGGTATGGATGTGAGCATATGTTTATGTGTGTATATGTTTATATTGATATATATTTATTCGTTTTATGTGGAAATGCACTGCGAGGATTGCTTTTTTAAATTTCTTTGTACCTGGTGCGATGACAATAAAGGAATTCTATTCTATTCTATTACATTGACACATGCATTATTTGTGATTAAAATAATGGTTGTTGTTAATGTATTAGCGACCCCCACAGATGTATGATTTCACTGCGTCCGTGGGGGCTCAGACCCTCCTTAAGGGAGCTCAGCTCCCATTGGCTCCCACATAACTCGAACCCTGTGTATTGGGTTCCCTCTGCTGGTNTTCTTTCAGTTTGCCTGGAACGAACAGATTTTATCTTCCCATAATTCACACTAGCCATTGTCAAGAACTATGACGTCGATATCATGTCTTGAGTCCCAGTCCGTTTTCCTCGCACGCTTGGTGACTTATCTGTCTGTCTGGATCGCGTAAGATGGTTCATCACTTCATCATAAGAAATCAATGACCTTGGTCTGTGACGTCCCAAGTCTGGTCGTCCAGTAACGCACTGACAGATGGGAACGAGCTTGGTGGTCCCATGATTGGAGGCATCTGAAAACCAACTGAGAGAATGCGTGTGGGCTGCTTGGAGACACACACAGGATGTGGTGAGAACTTGACGCGAGAGATCTCATAAAAACAGATTATTACAAAAATAATCAGACATCTCTTGTTTAGACTGTTTTGATCATTATGTGTCTTCTCATATAAATTAATCTATCGCAGGATCGTATTAGAGGCGCGCGTACATCTTTTTTTCAAAAATCATTAGGGTTTTTGCTTTTTTGTGAAACATATAAGGGTATCACAGGCCTGGTTTCACAAAAGGCACGAAGAGCCTTGTTAGGCCTTTATGTTGCGTTGGCTTACTGAGCTATTTAAATTTCAATTGACATGTGAAGGAAACGTTGACTTTTAATCCATCCAGTAGAAATATTCAATATGATTAAACATCAGTTAGCTTAACGTCAGATAAATAGCTAACACAAGTGTTAACCAATCCTGAAAACATAACTTATGTAAATGTACCTTTAGTTGTTGCCTCTCGGTTGCTCATGTAGTTGGTCTTTTTGAGGAACTTTGAAACAATCTGCGACAGAGGCAATGGGGCAAGGCACATCAGTTGACAATAGTCTTCTGCCTTCGTCCCAGACCACAGGCCAGCCTCTTGACAATGTCCGGAGTTCCGGCATACAATCGGTTGGGGCTAGCTTTATCCACAATCTCCTGCATCGATATGATGTAGCGTGTGGACAGTGTGTACACACTCGTCACCTCTGCCCGCCAGCTACTACTTGTCCAGCTAGACAAGTCGTTTTTGGGTCGGAGAGAAAAGGACATCCAAGATTTCGGAGTCTCTTTTGTTGGAAACTTTTTCGTTGTGGTGTGTCAGTCTAGTCTGTGCGTGACATCGTATTCGGCCTCCATTGTCCGATTTGAGAACCCGCGACGTTTTTGCAAATGCCACAGCGACCACCCTCTCCCCTATCCCCCTCGCAACAGGCCTTTCAGCACACATATTTCCTCTCCCACTCTTCCTTACCCAGCCCTTCTCTTTATTCTTCTACTGCGGGTTTGCGAGGCTTTTTGCTTCACGGCATTTTGCTACTACGTTCCCGCAAAACCACGGTAGCGCGGCTACCCGTACCCAAAATGGCACCTTCATTCCCGTCGGAAGTCTTGTCTGCACAGAACACCGCTCTGTCGCCGCGCGTGGCGGCGTCTTGCCTGTCCACTGCGACGACGACGCAATAATTTGCACACCCTAGTCAGCAGTTATACTGCGGGGTGGGTGCTGGCCAACTGTAGCGTGCCTGAACTAGTCTCAACTAATGGCTAGTTTTTGGCGGGCCAGCAGCCTCAAAAGCTAGAGCGAGCAATTCTTTTTGAGCAGCATTGATTATGCGTGACGCATAGGTCTCAATTTGCGGCGGACGCATGAATGCGGTTCAAACGCTGTGGTGCCACTGCGCTACGCCGGGGGACGGGTGCGCTTCACCCTAGCTACAAGGCGGGCGCGGGCCCGGGCGCGACATGGTTTCTCAGCAGTGTGCGCCCTGGTTGTCTTCCATCTTAGGGATAAGGCTGAGAAGGTTCGGTCATCCGGGCAGGACTCGCGAGTTGAAACCGCTCTCTCCTTCGCGGTCGAAAGGAGCCCAGTTGAGGTTGGTTCGTCGCCTGAGTTAGGATGCCACGGGCGCGGCGGGCGACCGTCCCTAGGGAGGTAGTTCCAGGCAACGTCCCGCTGTGGGGAAAGGACCAAGGGGGTAGACTAGCAAGACCGAGATGGAGGGATTATATCTCTTCGCTGGCCTGAGCCGCCTTGGATCCAGTTCAGAGCTGGGTTGATGTGCCGGGAAGAAATTTTGGGCTCTCTGCTGGAACTGGTTACCTCCTGCGACGGCCGACACGGATAAGCGGGGGAGAAGGATGGATGATGGATGTTGCTGATGCGGACAGAACTGTGTGGTGCTTAGGGCTGACCAGCGTGTCCCGCATGTGCGCGGACTGCACACACAGCATTTTTATTATTGTCCGCGTCCCGCACATTTGCAGATTATGTCCCGCATGCTGGTGCATCCTCGTGATAGTCGCGCCAGAAAGGGGCCGGATCGCGTTCGCTGACAGCCGGCCACCGCCCGTTTATTCAATCTGTATTGTCTAAACGGCATCATGTAAATTGCGGCTGACAGGCGACACAGAAGTCCCAAGCCCCCGTTGACAGTTCACGAGCGCTCCATAGTGTCTTCCGTCCACCCACACCCCCGTCTCACCCAGTAAAAACAATCCCACTACACCACTGGTTGTAGTAGTCACACCCAACATGGATTAAACGCTGGTCGTTTTCTTTACCATAATGTTGGGAAATTAATTGCGATAAAATGCTGAACCGGATTAATTATTATTATTAGTTAGTTACTTATTATTATTCCCACTTCCGATCGGGTACACTAGGTCCACCGTTTCCCCGAGCGAGGGCCTCCCCCGTTGTCAGTTTACGTGGGCCTGGCTGGGGTCCAGTGCGCGGACTGCCATCGGGCACGAATCACGATTGGGCCGGGTACCGAAGTGGGCCCGGGTCGCGATAAGTCACTTAGCCACATTCCCCCACTTCCCCGTTGACAATTTACGAGTTGTACGAAGTGGCCGCAGAGGAGTCCCGGGCTGATTTTTGAGTCCAGTCCACCACTGCAACATGACGTATGATCGCCCATATTGACGCCCTTAATCCTTAAACTTCTCTAACAGATACAAATAACCGATCCTTCAGCCTTCATAGACGCTTCGACACGTTCAAAATTAACTGTCAATCGCTGTCTGAGCTTGCTGCTGTGGTCCGCCATCGTGCGTTTACATGCAGAATGCTGGGATCCTGAACGGTGCAGGCTGGGCGCGTGCCCGCATGACGTCACCCATAATTTGGCGGAGTTGAAGAATCTCCGACAAGATCCAGGAAATTGTCAACATTGAAGGGCAGATTAATGGTAATCAAGTACAAACTATCCAAAATCATTCAGTAACAGTTTTCAAGGGGACAATATTTACTCAAATTGATGGGTTGGATGATGGGCCAAAATCGTGGTCACAGCACTTTAAGCCTCTGCTCTGGCTCCCTTAGCTTAGACAAAAATAAGAAGGAAATAAAAATAAAAGTATTTGTAACTTTATATTTTGTTGATGGATTGAAAATGTTTCGTATCTTGTATTTTGAGGTGATACTGTGACACATAATAAAAACAAAACGGTTTAATTAGTTCAACGTAAAATATGCGTCAATCCTGCTACGGTCCCCGCCGTAGCGCCTTTTCCTGCAGGTGGATAACCTGACTCCGGCATGACGGCTCGATGAGTGACTATGGATAAATCAAGGAAAAGTACCGGAGGAAAACACAGGATTTAATTCTGCGTGACAGAGTTCTATGCTTTCACAGCAAATGAGCTGCGTTTACCAGTATGTTTGATATGCAGAAAGAAGTTGTCAAAAGGTGCGCAGCCTTTACCGTATCGAGGAACAACACGGGAGAGGAAGAGAG